AAGTTCATTACAAAAATTGGCAGAGAAGAAATGGGTGGCAGTAGCAGATGGCTTTGGAAGCCTGCTAAAAATGAAATGTTTAACTTGAAAGAAGCCTACTCATATGTCTCTGATTTTGAATATGATGAGGTTCATCAAGTTTTCAACAAGGTTTGGAAATAGTAAGGACCCCAAAAAATAAAGATTACCTTATGGAAAATGGTCATCAATGCCTTACCTACAAATGAAATGAGATTCCTTAGATAGATTGCTCCTAGTAACCTCTGCCCAATATGTGGTTTAGAGAAGGAATCAACAATTCATGTTGTTTGTGATTGTAACTCTTCTTAGAAGGAAAAATTGGAGATGGTTTTTTAATGTGGATCGCATAGAATGGTTTCATCGGAACCTTTGAATCAAGACTAGTATGGAGGGTAGTAACTGGAATGTTGTGTTTGGACTGCTTGTGGAGCTTATATGGGCTTCAAGAAATGCTTGGATTTTTAAGAATGAAGAGTGGCTTATAGATATGCTCTTACGCAAAATCAAAGCCCAAGCTATGAAGGTGGGAGTTAGTATTGGTAATGGTGGTCATGTTGATCATGAGCGGATCATGCGGAGAAACTCCAACATTTGGATATGACCCTTGGATGGCTATTTATAGATGAATACAGACGGGGCTATTTGGAGGCAAAGTAGTGTAGCTGACTGCAGTGGAGTTTGTAAAGATACAAAAGGTACGTACATTTGGGCCTTTGCAAAACTTTTGAAGAATTGTTCAATTTTGGAAGCTGAGTTACATGGAATTCTTGTGACCTTGCAAATTGCCCATCACCATGGCCATAGACAAGTGGTTATTGAGGTCGATTGCAAGGAAGTCATTAACTTATTGGTCTTATCAATTCATAAAAATGACCATCATTTTATACTAGTCGAAGAAATGTGTCATCTTTGCTTTATTATGGGAAAGGTGGAGTTCAATCACACTCTTGCTAAACATAGTTTAAGTAGGATCGAGAGCTTGCATGTTTTTTAGGAGGCTCCTCCCTTTATCCTAGATGTTTTACAAAATAATATTAATGTAGATCTTTTTGATAGGGATTAAATTCCTTTGTTTAGACTTTTTGTCCTTCTTATTCACAAAAAAAAAATAATTTTTAAGAGTTTCTAGATAAAATAAGGAAAATTTATAAACTTTCCATGACCCTTATAATCTTGTACGTTTAAGCTTTGTTTGCGAATTAATATTTAAAAAAAACAGATAAAAATGGAAGATTTATTTAGAATTTTTCAAATGAGAAAAAAATATTTTATAAACTCTCAACAATTCTCCCAAGTTTATATTTTTTTTAGTTTCCTTGGTTTGAAATTCTTTTATTAACAATGATTTCTCTTTCCTTACCCTTTAAATCTATTGTTTCTTTTTTTTTTTTCAAACAAAAATTTACACTTCTCAATTTGGAAAGTTTGGAAAGTGTTGTATAAACCATTTTTTTCCCTCCTTTTCCGTGTTTTTGTTTTTTTTGTCCTTTAAATTCTTTTATTCTCATTCTAAACTCAAACACATTTTTGTGCATTTAAACATTGTGACCAAAACAGAACAGGAAAAAATATAACAGGTCTTAACGTTCATATTAGGAGGCCTCCAAGATGCTGAAGTTATTAAACATCCATGTTGACATTTTAAACTTCATTTTTTAGTTGAATTTTTGAAGTATAATTCAACCATTTTCAGCCTGGCAGGTGCCGCGTAAAAATGGACACGGCGTTGGTTATTGCTCTAAAATCATGTCACGTAGATAAGCTGAGTGTGTGTGAAAGATGAAAGATCCGCACTAATCATACCATTTGACTCGTCATCACTCTGCATCTGGAAACACATGTTGCGCAATCATCTCGTCTTCGTTAATTTTAAACGGAAACGTAAGCTCATTCAGACCAATAACTTCACCCAGTTACCTTCTTTCATACACACTACTATTAGAAGAGAAAAAAAGATTCTTCCGCTCCAAAGAAGTTAATTTCTGACTGTTCACTAGAGATAATTTTATAGAGAAATTATTTGTTACTCATTTTTTTATATGTGTATTTTAATACTAACTATAATGCTAGCAATTTTTTTAAGTTAAAAATAAAAGGACAATAAAAAAATTACAAAAAAATATATCTTGAAAAATTAAAAAAAATATAATCCGTAGCAAGACTAAATTTGTTTGGTTTAGGATATATTTGATTTCTTTTCTAAAAAGGGTTTTTAATTTTTTTTTCTAAATATAGTATACATTTATACTATATTTAGAAAAAAAAATTAAAAACTCTTTTAAAAATGGAAAACAAGCATACCCTTAGTTTTAATTTTTAATTTTTAAAAAATATATTTTCAAATAATTTTATAACATTATTTTTAGAAAATAAAATAAAATAAATTTTGTTTAATAATTTAATTTTTAAAATTATTTTTAGTTATACTGTTATTAGTTTTAAAAAGAAAAACAAAAAAATAAAGATAAAAATACCTAAATAGTAATTCTATTTTTTAGTTTTAAAAACTAAAAATAAAAAAATTTTAAAAATAGTTTTTAAAACTTACATCAACAAACAAGTTTTTCTATTTTTTAATTTTAAAAACTAAAAACTCTATTTAAAAAGAGAAAACAATTAAACTCTAAATTCGTACAAAGACATTGTTTTGAACTTTAATCTAAGTTAAACTATCTGTCACCTGCTTATAACCCTTCTAATTATAGCTTAATTCACTTTTATGTTGTAAATTTGAACCATCACTAATCTTAAACAAAAATATTTTACAAATTTTTATCGTTTTTTATTCGCACAACTTCTGTAATATTGATAATCTAACATTATATTTTATGTTTGGCTTTTTTATTATTTTCAAACACTTTTACTTAAATTTAATTAATTTAATTTGATTTAAGTTTTAAATTTTGAATCTTGGTATATTATGTCAAATTAACAATTTTATTTATATAAACTGATTTTTTTAGATTATTGTTGTAATATTATATAATTTAAATTGAAAATTTAAATGTTGACATCTCATATCAATAAAGATGATATATCTTTAATATATATATATATATATATATATATATATATATATAGCTTGAAATAATTAATTTTTTATATTTTTCCTTCTTAAATTTAAATTTATTATCTATTTAATTTATTTTTACACTTGATAAAATAGTATAGCCGTTAGTAATAATAAAAGATATTTCCTTTAATTTTACTTTATTTATAAATTTTATTTAACTTTGAAAAATGTTATTGCACAACAAAATTACCAATAGTTTATAAATTAATATAATTTCATATGAATTTAATCTGCCACGTGCCTGAAGAAATTCCTCTTTATAGAGTCAATATAAATAGTATGATGCATTTGAAAAACCGTGTTATTGAATTTTTCCTGTCTTAGAACTGAAGTGATTGGCCTCTCAATATTTTTTGAATCTCTAAATTTGACTTATTCATTTATTGCTTTTTAATCTCAATTTTAGGTAGACACTTTATAGTGATAGGAGTATTTTTTACGGTTGTCGTTATAAATTGAAGGATAAATTTTATGTTAACACGAGTAACACACATATATGTCATAATCAAATGGTATAATTAAGAGCATAAACTCAAAAGTCAATGCCATATGATTTTTACGAGACATAGATTATGATAGATATCTACTTGATGGATGCATGTCTACGGATTTGCGATGGTAAAGAATACTCATAAATTGAATGTGTAAAGATATGATTGGACATCGTTGTAATGTGTAAAGGTCCACGGTATTGTTATGTGAGGACAGTCAACTGTGTTGAAAGAATGCATTAACCTGCGTCTGTGGTTAGCACTTGGAACGAAGTAACGAACTATGCGAAATCATGGATCTTCCGATAACTGACTTTACTTGACGGTGTCGTGCAAATATGCAATACTTTATTGCAACCCAATAACAATAATGAAATTAGAATGGGTAAGAGGATGAGCTTAAGGTCCTCATTAATTGCATATTTAAATGAATTGAGGAATGATTTCTATTTTCTTCGTTTTTTATTATAATTATTGCTTACTGAAATATAATTGAATTTTATATTTTTTAAATTATTTTAATATATTTTTTCTCTCATTTATAATAAGTACCCTTTTGTTAATTAGCATTCTTAAAAAATTAATATTTCCTTTGTTTTTATAATATTTTAATATACTTTTAATTAATACTTTTTTAAAAAATTATAAATCCTCTTACTTACTAAATTACTAAAGTGTTGAATCTTTTTATTTTTTTAATATCTGTAATATATTTATTTTTTATTCAATATTTACTTTATAAAGTATTAAAAGTATACTAAAAATCTTATAAGAAGTTAAAGCATTTTTCATATTTTCTTTACAAAAATAAGTAAAAGAAAGGTACGAAGATGCAAAATTACTTATTATTTATTTTGGTCATGGTAACGAATATTCTAAAAATATTGGCTAAAAAGTATTAAGTATATTTGATTACTTAAAAATTTAATATTAAATAATTTCTTAAAATAATATAATTTTCTAATAAAGTTTTATATTTTGATTTATGTACCACTGCATGTCCTAACGTTCACCTATATATTATTATTAGGCGAACTTTACATGAAAAATCAACTAAAAAAATAGACGGATTTAATTGAACTATATTCACATTACGATTTACTGAATTTTGTATAAATTTAATTTAATAATCAAATGGGTGTTACACTGTTTAACAGTCCTCTTGATTAGTTAATTAATAGAAAACGAAAAATGAAACTAAATTAAGAAGAGTGTTAAGGAAATATCTTCTAATACATTTTTATTTACTAATTAAAATTTAATAAAAATTATAAAAATATAGGTGAAACTCATTAAATTAACTGAGAGATTTCCATAATTTTTATAACTTACAATATATTTCAACAAAAACAGAGAGCAAGTTAAAAGAAAAGTGTATATTTCTCTTTCTTATAAACTAAAGGTAGCAAGGTGGATCATAGTTTAGAAGTGAGGAAGGTGGAGGTCTTTCCAAAGGAGAAGAATTTTCCGGTGGGCAGGAGGTGTGGCGGAAGCAAGGCAAGTGTGGCTGCAAGGGAAGCGGCGTGCTCAGCGGTGTGTGTGCCTTTTCCCTTTGTCATTGAAGTTTGAGTGAAGCCAGGGCAAAAACAGTTCACACTCAACCCACTTCCTTCATATGAATATCTCTTTGCTAACACTCGAGAGTATGCATTCAAAGCCAGTTTCGACACCGCGTAGTCCGTCCAGTACGACGGCCAACCTTGCCCCTTCCACGTCCCATTCCCAACGTCTCTAAGAAACATCCCCACCACTCCCTCTATCTCCTCTTCCATCAACTCCTCACGCTCTAGCACTTCCCGTATCCCTGCATTTCTCACCTTCTGCATTCGTAACATATTTAAAGACATACAATAAGAACTGATGTATAATATAATATTTATACTATTCCAATTAAAAGAAATTATTACTAGAATGATTACATTGAGAGAGCCGAGCCTTGAGCTAACGTTGAGAACGCGAGTAATGGAAGAAGAGGAGCAACGAAAGAGGGGGAGGAGAGCCTCAATAAGCAATTTGGGACCGTAGAAGTTGGTCTTGATGACGCTTTCCGCGTGTTCCACTGAGTTCTCCCCCAGCTCATTGAATGATACCCCCGCATTGTTCACCTGATCATACTCATGTGCATCATTATTAATAATTAATAATATACATCCTATTTAATTATAATTAGCTAGATCTTCAATTTTTTTTTAAACTTTAAATAGATCTCTTTTATTTTTCATTCACTTCGGAGATTGAATTTATAATTAAAGTAAATAAATACTCACAAGAATATCCAAGGTCGCTCCAAATTTGGCTTGGAAGGAGGATGCGAAGTTTGAGACAGAAAGGGGATCAGAGACATCCAGCAATAGAAAGTGAACGTGAGCACCAATGCCTTGTGCTCTCAGGCTCTCCAACGCAGCTTCCCCTCTTTCCCTGTCTCTCGCAGTTAGCACCACATGCAGTCCCAATTCCGCAAACCGCTTCACCAGCGCAAATCCTATGCCTTTGTTTCCTCCCGTCACCACCGCCACTGTCTCCTCTGACCACCACCTTCATTCATCAGGGTATACAGTTATTATAAATTTTTATTTTTAATTTTATCTTCTTTGCACGAGGAGGGTTAGGAACATATTTTAAAAGAATATACAGTAGAAATATATATTACTAACATTTTTTTTGTATATACATCTTAAAACAAATCTAAAATATAAAAGGATAGCTAACACACACCAGGAAAACATAGATAAATTGATTATAGATAGATAGCATACCTGGTTAAGCAGAGTGAAGGAGAAGGAAAATAGTGCTCCGGTTCCATACACATATATGTATGTATGTATGTGAGTTAGAGAGAATATGAAAGAAATTAGTGAATGTCAATGGAAACGATGCCAACAATGATAATATGTATGCTAGCTATGTGTGTTTATATAGGCAGACACACTTGCATGCATTATTGGGAATAAGGAACAAAACCAGACTCTAACATATTTACATATAAAATTAGTAGACTCGGGAGACTGGCGGTGGCGGGGTAACTATAAAATAACAAGGGATAACGAGCAAGTGGCGACTGGTAAAAATGCAACGTGTGTTTTTACATAATTTGATTCTTGAGTCTACCACCGTGGGCTGCGTCAGTTCATGTATATCTCAGTTCCCCGTACCCAAATCGAACCTCCTCGCATATTTTTAGGTCACGATAAAAAAAAATTAATTTGAGTTATTGATAGGAAAAATATTTTATTTTATAATACTTTGATGTTATTAAAAGTAATTAAAGTAGAAGATAATAATATTAACTAACATAACGAAAATAATGTAATGAGAAAGGTTTTTTATAATAAAAAAGCACGTAAGATTCTTTCTGTTACAACATATTTTATATTTATATTTATGCATGATATATGTCATAACTAGATATATTTTAACAATCTAACAAAATCTTACACGCCAATACTTGATTACTTATTTATTTATACACACGACAAAATTGTAACAACTATTATATTTGCGTGTAATTAACATAGATGGTTGTAGTAGATTATAATTAAAATTAGATATATAATTACACGAGAAATATTACACGTAAGATTCTTTCTATCACAATATATTATAGGCAAAACTATATTTTTCCCTCTATTTGTTTCGAGATCAAATTTAGTCTTAGTGTTTGTTTTTTTAATTTTGTTCTCTAGCTTAACATTTTTCCTTATCAGTTAACGAGAGTATATTATTGCAAGATATTTATGTGGCATTGATGCCATTAATTGAGTTTTAATTGGTAACAAAATTATTCAAAATAATAACGTTTTGAGCAAATAATATGCTAAAATGTAACTTAAAATATAAGGTTAGAAAATGAAAAGTATAAAAATAATAAAGAAATATTATGGAAACTTTCAGGAATGTGTCGGTTCATTTAGGTTGTGATTCAATAAGGGTGGAATTAGCAACTTATGTCACGAGTTTGCTGGCATGGAATCGTTTTCTAGTCATGGAAAAGGGATGTTGCGGAATTGGAATGGGCAAGTTATTGATGAGGTCATGTGAAGGTGAACATTTAGTTTTGTGGGTCTGTGTATGACTTTCTGGTTGTTGACCATGCTTTTCATTTTGTAAAATGTATAGATGTTTGATTTTCAGATAACTGACTAATCGTGTTTGATTTCATTTTCGATTTATCATTGGATAGATGTTTTGTGTAAAAGTAAAGACGGAGGAAGCAATTCTTAATATTATTTTAGGTTTGAATTGAACACTTAAATGATCCAGTCAGATTGATTCATAATTTAATCAAATTCGTATACTGATTGCATTTTACATCATTCAATCATTTGTTTGTTTGCGTGTGCATTGAAAGCCCCTCAACCCTTCATGTTTGAAGATTTTCATAGACATTTTACTTTTCACCCACGTTTGGTTTTATGCTTGGCTACTATTTTAAACATGAAGATGTTTTCAAATGCAATGTAGTAAAAGTAATTCTTATGTAACTTTTTTAGTTGACTTAAAAGTTTATATTACATTTTATTAGAATCTAACTTTTGAAACAAATTCATAATTTTAAAACATAAATCACTTCAGTTATAAAATTTTATTTTAGAAAAATTAATTTAAAAAATAAAAAATAAATCAAAATCAAATTTACAAATATTTATACAAACATACACTTAGAGATTTTATATTAACAAAGTGTCAGATATTTTGACAATTTATTAAATAGTTCATGTAAATTATGCATTACTCTAATTATAAAATTTAATGTGATAATTGTTAATTATAAAAGATTGAGTTAGGGATATAATTATAAGCTCAATTAAAAGAAAATATTTTTCTATTTCCCTTCATAAGTATAGAAGATCGGTCACATAAAAATAAGGATTATATGCAGGAATCAGAAAAGACGCATTTATTAACTTTTTTTCACTATAAAATATTTTTTTAAAAGAAGAGTTAAAAAAATCCTAAAAAATTAAGACTATCAAAGGAAATATATCAAAACTATAAACTTAGATAAATCTTCTCAAACATCATGATTGTTAAGCTGTAGTAATTTTTAGAATAGAAAACATGAAAGAGAAAATTACAGTCAATACAAAACATGTTATTTAGTTCATATGTTAGTAAGATCATGAATATCATATATTATTATTGTATCATTTAAAATTACACGTTATTTTAAAATTTACCCATATTAAGAGGCTTAAAACAGGTGCAAAAATCAATGCGTGCATATAATAATGTTGATTCAGAAACAGAGTAGGGTATAAGAATCTTTAGGTGGAATATTAACGTGGTGGCGCAAAACGTTCATACAGGAACCTGTTTGAAATTTTGAATGAAGGTAAGCCCCATATGATTATTTCTTCACATGGACATCGCTAATGCAATTCATAAATTAATGTGGCAATTGCTAATTTATATACCAGTGTGATGTGAAAGGGACTAAAGCTCTTGTTGAATTTTCTCACATATAAATATAGCTCTTTGACTAATCAAACATACGTCACCTCGGCCATTGGGAAAGAGAATTAGGGGATTGTAACAATGTAATAAAATAAAGGAAAAGTCTTGTACTATGTCATTTAGATATTGTTTTTAATAGAAGATTTATATTTAATGTGGTTGCAAATTATTAAAATAAAATTTTAATTAATAAATAATAAATAAAAATAAAAATATTATTTTCAATTAAATATTATTTTTATTTTTTATTTATAAAAATAATGCTTGATTTCTTAAAATTTTAATAAAATTTAATTATTTTTTTATAAATTATATTATATTTTAAAAATATTATAATATTGAATAATTAAAGTGGTGTAGTATATATTAAATAAATAAATATATCCCTTTATATAAATAAAGAATGATGACTTTGTAAACAGAAATGTTACGATAAATAAGGTTATAAGTTTTTTTAATTAATATGTTTAAAAAATAATTTTTGTTTCTTACAATTATAATAATAAATATTAATAAATATTTTTCATAAATAAAAATATAAGTAGTAATATTTTTTTAATCAGAAACAGCATGCACATAATAAATAAATATCATGAAACAAGCGACAAATTGTGGTTAATTTGAAAATTATAGTGTGCGTTATCAAAATAATTTAATAAATACTGAGCACGTGAATAAAATGAGTTTGATAACTTTAAAACGAATTTGTTTAATTAAAAAAATAATTTTTAAAGTGATTTAAATTTTTAAAATAAGTTTTTCTTTGACTGAAATAAAAAATATATATTATTTTTTTATATTTAATTATTTTTAAATCAAATTTATTAAATATAAATCAAATGGGCCCAAAACTTAAAAATTTAAGTTCTTATAATAATATATCAAACGAGTAAAGTGAAATGAATTTAATTTATAATTCATCATAAAAATTTTCGTAGTATTATTAAAATTATATAAAATTTTAAAATATAAATCATAAAAAAAATATAATGAAATTATGTAATTAATTAAGATATAATTTAAAAGTCATACCATAACTAAAACACAATAAATAAAATTATAAATATTATATTTTAAAAAATTGAATTTAATTATAGAAATAAGGATGCTATATATCACTTTTTGAGATAATAGAATTAAATATTAAAAACTATTTCTATAAAAACATATTTTAGTTTACTAAATAACATTTAATTCTTAAAAAAAATTTATTACGTGAATCGTTAAAATTTGATATTATATATGAAACCATATATTATCATTTCTATTTCTCCCTTAATTTTTGTATATTTTTTTCACATGCATCCTCAAAATATATCTTAATTATAAGAGACCTTTTTAAGTATTTCCTCCAGCAACACAAGAAACATTACTGTTCCTAAAATTATTAATTAATTATTATTAAGTGAGTTTGATATATATATATATATATATATATATATATATATACATATATATATATATATATACACGTTACTGGATGGGTTTAATTTAAAAATTTTAGGTTGTTTTAATTGACTAATTTGATTATTTGAAAATAAATAACTAAATTATAATATACTTTGTTAAAATAGCTAGATTAAAAAATTACATTAGCACTGTATAAGAATACGTTAAAATTTAACCCTTGGTGCACGAGGGTAAACTCACGAAATTAATCATAAAGTGGAAAAATGAAAAATGTTAAATAAAAAGTTTTGTTTAGAAATTAGGCAAATGTTAACCACCACTGAAAGAGCGCTAGCTAAGGAACTAAAAATTATTTTTTTAAAAATATAATAAATACACACACTCTATAATTTTTAATGCAATATAATATAATTTTAATAAAAATTTATCCTGAGGATACTAACCAGCAAGACCTTAAAAATTAATATGCATAATATCCATGCACAAGTTTCACATAATGATTTTTCTTAACATAACTTCCTTTAATAACTGAATTAGTACTGTCAATTTTTTTCAACAAAGAAATAAGATATAATTTTGTATTATGAATATTAATCCTCTTAATTTGCTCTGATTTCTTTAATTTGTTGCGTATCCATTCAAATTTCTCTCAAATATGAGCATATTACAATCTCATTTTACCATTTTCTCTCAATATTTATTTGTATCTTAATTTTAAATTAAAATTGATTTCTAAAAGGCTTATTACCTTAATGCATTAATATTTCGTACAATATGCTACCTATAGAAATAAAAACAAGTTTGATGGTCCCCTCAACCTGCGCCCAGCTTATGCGTTGCACGGTTGGAATCCACGGGGCACATAGGGCAGAATGCGTTAGCTTTCTACTTAAAAGTCTTTCGTTGAGCGCAAGAATTCAGAGTCCACTTCATCATGAGATTCTTTTGAAAATTTTGTATTAATATTAAAGATATAATAATATGATAAGAATTTTTTTATCGAATGATTATATTAATAAAAATTTAATTCTATATAAAGTCATTACCAGTATAAAATTTGTGTAACGGTGTAAGTTAATTCTTTTTTAAAAAAAAATTATTTTACATATATTTTTATCTATATAAAATACATCAATTTTGATTTTGATCTTGATCTCTATATTTTTTTTATTTTAAATCCTGCATTTTCAAGAGTTGTTGATTTTACGTCTCATGTTGATGTGATTTCAGGAAAAAGTGCTCCGTGGCCCAAAGGGTATAAACTAAAAACAAATTTTCTTTGTTAAATGACCGATGCTTCTCTGCCGTAAGCACTGATTGATTCATTCAGGTAAGCAGAGTCCACTTTTCTTTTCTTTTTCATGAGCATGCCTTCTACCTAACTATTAGCTTCTAGCCATAGTGTGGTCCTCACATTGCCTGCAATTGGGGGTCTTATTCTTCAGTTTATATTGCACATGAAAAAGTTACCTTAGCTTTTGAACTTTGGGCATGTGACATATATATATATTTTAGAAAAATAGTAAGAGGCTTTTGTTTCTACAAATTCACAACCATTCAATGCCTATAAAATAATTGATCTTAAGAAAGTGGGGTGAAAAGTGAACGTGCAAATATCAATGCCCCCTTTATCACAAGGTATCAATGTCCAATATTTTACTTCACTTGGAACGAATATGAAGTGCATTGTGACCGTTGCGCCTACCAAACACAAACAAACTAGTTCATGTGTTGTTTCACGATAATTTTATTTTAGCATTCAGAGATTATTGAAGATATAGTTTGGACGATGAGTGATTCTTAGGTGCTCGTAAATTTGAAAAAATAAGATAAAAATATTTTTTTATAGAAAATTTGCAAGAATCGTTAGGTTATTGATTGAAATTAGATGATTAAAAATACAACTATATAATTAATGATATAAGTTAAATTTATCAAATAATATATGAATAATTTAATGTATATATTTCTTTTTATGTCTTTCATTATCATTTACACAATATGAACTTATTTACTTTTTATCTTTTATCGGCTACGTAGTTAAGCACCAGTCATTTTCTTCACACCATCGAGTATTTATAAATGACAAAAAAAATTTTACAAAAAATAAAAAAATTAAAAACACTAAAAAATTAAAAAATGTTAAAATTTTAAAAAAGTGATATAAAATAAAAATATAATTTACATTAATTCATAACTCTTATTGTAGATTACATTCCTTTAAAATTTACGACGTTAAAAACAACAAATTTTATTTTCTTTTTCAGCTCTCACTTCTCCCTATTGCTTTCTCCACACCCACCACCTTGTCCCTTCTTAGTCCCCTCTCCCCTTTCTCCACTCTCCCTTTATCCTCTCAGCCTTTTCACACTCATCTTATCTCCCACTAACAGTTTAGTTCAACCTTTTTTTTTCTTTCCTCCAGTCATTCTCTTCTTAACCTCATTTTTTACTCTCTTTTATTTCAATAAATTTTATAATTTTTTTTTTGTTATTTTTATAAAATTCGTTTAATTGCACTATCTTTTATTTTACTCAATCAGAATTTAAGCTTAAATTTTTTTAATATATTCTTAAAATTAAATTCTAAATATATTTGCAAAACACTTTCAAAAATTTAAATTTTCAAAATTAAATTTTATACTTTAAAATATTAAATTTTGAAAGTCCTTGACAAATTATTTTTAGAATTTAATATTTGGAAGTAATTTCACACTTTCTAAATCAAATTTCGAAAGTGATTTACAAATAATTTGTAAAATTTAATTTTTAAAATGTATTACATATACTTTTAAAAATTAAATTTCAAAAGTAACAGTAAAAGATATGGCGCTAATAAGTAATAACAAAAAAGAGGTGGTAAAAATCACAATCTCCTTTGTTTTTATATTTGCACATGTTTGGAAGAGCTCGTAAATAGTTTATAGAAATAGCTTATAATTCTTGCAAACTCTTAATTTATTTTAGTAAACTTCTTCTGTTACTTAAAATAAGCTATTTTAATTTATTTTAATAAATTTTTTAATATAAGTAATCATTTAAAAATATATATTAAATAAATGTTTAATGAAGTTATATTCCCAAACATACTCTTATTAATATTTTATTTTTAATTGGCACAACAAAAAGGTGATCAGTGATTCTTTATTATTCTCCCATTTATTATATAGAAAAAAAGAAAATATCTCTTGTTCAAGGGCCATTAATCCGTGCTGTTAGTCAAATCTAACAACCTGTAGAGTTATTTACCTTTTTAAAGGTATGTTAGGATAAAAAGTGAAAAAAAAAGGGTGGGAATAAAAAGCAAATGAACCAGGAAGGACGTAAATAAAAATAAAATAGAATCAAAATGATGTACTGTTTAAATAGACTGAAATCAAAATGAATGAAGTGAAAAAAAAAAAATTACTTTCTCATAAAAAAGGAGAATGAGAAGAAATAAATAGATAATATATAAAAAAAATTTATAATACTTTAAAAAATTAGTTTATTTAAAAAATTGAATTTTTTATAATATAGTTTTATCTCAATAAAGGATTATTAATTAAGTTTGTATAATTTTTTTGGCTATAAAATATTATATTTATTTTCTAAATAATTAAATAATAATATAAAAAACCACTTTGTTGCATTCCATTGCATTTCTCGACTAAGAGAATGAGAAATGGTAAACGAGTCGCGCAGAAATGGCAACAATTTCACACTCAAATTTCAGTCCATCCAAACGAGGGAAATTTATTAAAGTTGATCATTCCAATCCATGCTAATCTAATGCATGCTATTTGAGTAGAAATAAAGGAAGCGTAAAAGTCAAAAAAACGAGAAACCGACATAATTCAGACATGTCACATTGACATGCCTTATAGATGCTCATGGAGAATGAGTATAAATGAAAAAAGTAACAAGAAGCATAGTTGTTTCATGGCTCAACTTGCATCTTCTTACATTCTTCCCAAATTGACTGAAAAAGAACAGTGGACAAATATCTTTCACCAAAGCTTGGGAAGATAACCTGAAAGAAATAAATATTTTATGCATTAAAAGGTAAGAATAATCTAGTACTGAAATTTGAAAAGAAATGAAGTTTTAACTAACAAAAAGATAAAAGCGACAAAAAAGAACCCATGACATCATTTTAGCAAACAAAACAAGAAATGAAAGGAAAAAAAGAAACTTCACCCACAATAATAGCAGGTCAAAAGCATATCATACACAATGCCTAGCATGTTCAGCCTTTTAAGCCTGAATACTAGAATCATCTTTTCATTTATCAGTCATAAGCAAGCATTATAGACAAATCCAGCTAAATTTTCATTCAGCCTTTCAGGTCCTTCACACATCAACAAATGAGCAACATAAGTAAAAGATGACATGCATATGCTAAATTGATGAAAGTTAACAGTCTGCTACAACAATACAAGCAACTGGATACATAAATAACATCATAAACTGGTGAATAAAACAAAATATGCGCGCTTGTCCTTCAGAACCAAAATCTAGACCTTGCTTTAAAGGTCAGATTGTTAAGAAAAGAACAAAATATGATCAGACCGGTAGAATGAGCCATAATGCATAACATATGCCATCTGTCTGATGCTTTTTGTAAATTCCTTGTAAAATTATTATGTTTTTATTAAGATTTTTTGTTTTGGAAATATACATACCGCAATAAGCTTCCCTGCATTCTCAGGTCTCTTTCCAACCCTCAATGCAGCAGCAGCAGCAGTTCCTGAAGAGATTCCCACCTGTTCTCCAGTTGAAGTTAGCATGTAAGAGGTGAAGTATGAAGCCAACATATATGAACTCTTCATTTAGGATCAGAATTGAGATGTCATAATATTTGAAGAAAACTAACTCCAACGTGCAAGCTAAATAAGACACAAGTTCATATGCCCTTCTTAGTCGGGTAAGGATCATTCATGAACATGACAAACATTTTAATATGGTGTGTGTAAAATGCCATTATCTTGTCCATGGTAGATTCAGCGACCTTGGCATGTCTCATGTAACTGTGCACGTGCACATAATAATGCACACTGGAAAACCTTAAGAAACTCAAATGCACACAAACAGTTGAAAAAATGAAAATAAAAGCACTTACCAGCAAGCCTTCCTTTCGTGCTATTTGCTTTGCAGTTTCAACAGATTCATCAGTTGATATCTGCAAAATTCAAAAAAGTGGAGATTAATTATACAGAGACCAAGAAAATATTGCCACTTCACTATTTATCCTGATCAGGTAGTCCCTATATCATAATCACATGCATAAAAATTAGTACAGCTGATAGCAGCTCTAAATGTGGAATACCTTAAACGGGTCCTGAATTAAGAAAGAGAACCTACCACCAGAATTTAGAAACAAGCTAGTGTATGATGAAATTTTTGTTATTGGCCAGTACATTAAGTACATGCTGTTTGGCATATAGTACATGCTTATAGAGGGAAAGCGACTATCAAATCCAAATGTCAACACCAATTTTGCATAATTCATATCTTGTCTATGAAAAATATTCACTAACATGTGCAATATATAGTAGTGGACCACATTCATTGAAACTAAGATTGAAACAGACACACACACACGCACACAAGCCAAATGTGAATATCAGCAAAGCTTTCCATGAAACACTTGATAAATCATTTCGTTAAAATCCAGGAAAAGATGATAATTAATACATTTAAATAATTCAACTAACTCCTGCATACAAGACCATCAGAAGGAAACATATAAGCTAAAAAAAACATCAATGTATTTTTCTTAATTTCATTATTTTTATTTTACAAGGATTGTCATCTCTGACTCATCATTGCATGATAAAGTTCAAGTAAATACTGGTATAGGAAGTAAACAATGCTTAGGTACTGTTAGTAGCTACATGCACTAGATGGGGGCATTAAGAGATATAGCAATGACATTTTCATTCACACTTGATTTGTTTGCAAATGGTTAGTAGACAAGGAGGACTTGTCCTGGTTACATGCATGATGGCCAGAAGAAATCCATACAACAGAATCAAACAGAATGATTCAAATTTCAAAATCTGACATGTTCAAGAAATTGCTCTTAGAACTAATTTAGTCTGTAGTAACACTTCTTTAAAAAACCGATTTAGGAAATAAAAAAACACACTGGATTAGAACGTAAATGGAAAAGACAAAAGGAAAGCATAAGACAGACCGCTATAACTTCATCAAGCACATCTTGATTCAAAGTGTTGGGTACAAAACCAGCTCCCAGACCCGGAATTCCGTGAGGTTCTGTGGTTTAGCAGACAAAAGATACAATTTATAAAAGAAATTAAAATTAACATATTGGATTTACAATGTGTAGAAACTTATTCTGTTTCCATACGTGCTGTTCCACCCGAAAGTATGTTGCTTTCTAGAGGCTCTACACCAATAACCTGATACATGATAAAGAAAGTGCTTAATGGAACACAAGAAAGTAGAAAGCTTCCCTATAAGAAATTATATTTCATGTGATAAGACATAACCAGTACGGATTATGGGCAATCCCTTACCATCATTATATTGATCGATATCAGAAGACATTTGGGTTTGACAATGCTATAGAGAAAGGTTTACCTGTATTTTCGAATTTTGTTGTTTTAGGAATTGACCAGCTCCAGAAATAGTTCCACCAGTTCCAATTCCTGCAACTAAAATATCTACCTTGCCTCTTGTATCTTCCCATATCTCTGGGCCAGTTGTCTCATAATGTATCTGTATAGTTGAATCCAACTTCACATTTCATACCATACTGCAGCTCACCATGCTATCCATTCATGACATGTCAATCAACTTGAAAATTAAACTGAATGCACAGGGGAGAAACAATATTGGCTTACAATTTGAACATTTTCCCAAGACCTTTTTTTATATACACCAATTTAGAAAATGGTGCCAAAAGATTTTCAACAAATTGCTAAACTGGCAGGGAGATTTGGTTACTTTTGGAAACCCTGTAATTAATTCTAAACTTGATATGTATGATAAATTGTTGCTGAAAGTCGAAAATGGAATAATGCATTAAGAGAAAGAGAGTACATAAAAGAAAGATCTGGAATCCTCTTAGAGCTATAAAGGACACAACAACAGGAAGTCAGAGAGAAAGAGGAGAGAACATCAGATTACAAGAACCAAGCATTTGCTTTGCATATATTAGGGAAGAAAATCCTCTAAAGACCATAAGGAGAAAAGACAGAGAAGCTATGCTAAAAAAAAAATGAAACCGCATCTCATCTTTTATCACAAAACTAATACAATCAAATCAATAGTAAAAAGGATGTTGACAGCTTACTAGTTTGTACAACCAAGTGAAGAAATGTTTGAAATTGTGTTTTTTCTAACATTAAAGTGCATGTGAAAGTAATTTGAAATGATTGATAGTGAGAGAGATTATCAAGGTCATCAGAGGTTAGGTCATTGCCCCTGGGAGAAAGTAACCCAAAGATGGGTTTGATGAACTCCTCACTGCCACCAGCTACGGTTCTGAGGTTAGGTCACTCATTCGGAGGACAATCCTTACTAGAATCTACACTAACGAGATGTTGCAGCCTCACAAACCAAACAAGAACTTATCTGGATAGATGTGCTTATGTGTGATGGGATGCTACACTTCAAAAGCAGTCATAGACTTAATATTGCATTGTATTTCTATTAACCAAGACTCTGTGACTGCAGTTTGAATCAAGGGTTTCAACTAAAGGTAAAGTAACAAGAATCAATTGTCAATCAATGCCGATTACAATACATGGGCCAAACCTGGAGCAAATGGTGCACAGGTTCCCAAAAACATAGGATTCATGTGCTTAAACATAAACTAAGACATTATCATTTACCTTAGGATTTGAAGGATTATTAAATTGTTGAAGCATGTGTGAATTGGGGGTAGTTCTTAAAATTTCTTCAGCTTTTTGAACTGCTGCAGTCATGCCCCTTGCTGGATCAGTCAAAACAACCTCAGCCCCAAATGCTTTCAAAATAACTCGCCTTTCTAAATTCATGTACTCAGGCATTGTGCAAATGAGTTTATATCCTCTACAAGCTGCAATAAAGGCAAGACCAATTCCTGCGTTCCCGCCAGTAGGTTCCGCTAAAGTAGTCTGATATGCAAGAGAAACAAGTTACCAAAGAAATGACAAAAAAATAAAATAAAAAAATTGAAGCAATATTAAATGTATTTGGCCACACCTAATAATATGAAAGAAAGCAAATAACAACACAATTTAACCAGCTCCCATTGAAGATCACAGCTTGTTTTTCCCAAAAGAACCACATAATGCTTCCACATAGATGCAGCATAAAAGTAAAGGAAACAGTATTGCTGCATTGCATGTACCCCAAAGCAAAAGGTATGACCAACCAAAATGCCCAGAACAAATTGTAGCTTCTAGAATTGTCAAAACTAGTAAATATGATCACACAAATTTTATAATAAACACATATAACCCACTTAAACTCGGATTAGGGTATATAAAGTCTCACAACAATTTAAAAGATTGCTCATATGCCGTCACAATATTAAAGCATAACATGCTCCCCAGCAGGCAAGCATAATTTCTTGACAAAAAAGCACGTGTATTCATGTCTTTATCCTTCTTTGTTAAGAGTTTTATTTATAGTAAACCAGGAACTGTAGCACCTGGGTGTAGCACAAGAGTATATATAATACACCATATACAGCAATTATGTACGGGTAATATTTCTAAAGTTTCTAGTTTCTACCAAAAGTTTATTCTTCCCTTGTTAAGACAATGCTTCAGGACTGAAAAATGTCCAAATGCTGCTGATGTTGTTTTTATTTATTTGTTTTTAAGAAGTCAATTAGGATGTTTTAGGTATTTTGTTATTCCCCTTTGTGTTCATGGCTTATTCTTAGGTATTTTGTTTTTTTATGCATTGCATGTGTGGCTCTACAGCAATATTGCTAAGAACATTAAAAAAATTCGTTGTGTACAAATGGTAAACCGTAAAACCATTTGATATCTAACTTGTTAATGCCTGTCAGGCTAAACAATCGTAGTGTGCGTATAACTTCAAATGAGATCAACAATGATAATTCTGATTAATAAAATTAGATTTTATAGTGCAGTACTTAGTATAAAAAAAGAATACTAATATTGCACGTGTAAAGCCTACCAATTTTGAAAAAAAAAATTACGGGATAAATTCTAAAAAATATTTTACTAATTTAAGAAATTATTAGAATATCATTTTTCTCTCATATAAGAAATATAAAAGATATTATTGTAAAAAGGTAAAATCCACTCATTTGGCACATCACGTTTTTTTATTTGCACCGCTCTGTGTACATTTTCACAGTGAAAAAAATTCCAACATTTACATAGCATGAGTATACATACGTTCATACTACGACGTCCATAAATGAACATACACACTTTTTTTTTAATCACTTTTACCTTTCCGGGTGTTATAATTCCTCTTTCCTCGGCATCATTTATCATGCTGTAACCTATCCTGTAAGAAGAAAATCAGATGAAAAAAAGCAGTTTTTTAAAGGTGTAAAGGGTACGTAATACAAAAGATTAATAAATAAATTTTTATAAAAAATTATAAATTTAATATTATTAATTTATTATACTTTTAATATCTTCTAATTTCAAAATTATTTATGTGTCGTTAATATACATTAGAAAAACCGTTAAAAATTAACAAAGATAGATAAAATAAACTTCCAATTTGTAAATTTATGTTGCCAAATAATTTATCTAAATTCATGATAAATTTTTATTTTAGCTATGAGATTTTAGTCTACTTTATTATTATAATTTATATTTTATTTTTTAAAATAACTAAATTTCTCTTTATTTTATTATAGAAAGTGCTGATAGTACAACTTGATAAAATTAAATTAAATTGTGAAGAAATTTTTTCTAAAAAATTAAAGAATAGGTAAAATTAATAAAAATGAGTGATATAGCAGGGATGTCAAAATGGGTTCACCCATCTTACTTAGCCTATAACTTTTAAAGAAAAAAAAAATTAGCATGTCCCATTCTATTTAGAAAATGAACTAAATTTTCTAATCTAGACCTTTAAAAAGTAGATCGTCAGGCCAACTGGGCAACTTGTTAAGAACCAATAAATAAATAAATAAAAAGTTGGTAGACATGGATTAATGAACTAGTTCACTTAAAATTAAATAAAAAATAAAAAATTATAAAGAATATATAAAGAATATTTTTAATTAATAAAAAATAATATTTAATTAAAATAAATTATTTTTTATTCTTTAAAAATTAAAAATAGGTCTGATGGGTCATCCTAACCTTGCCATTGGGTCACATTTTGGCAGGCTGAACGAGTTTAGGGTTTAGGGTTTAGGTTGGACGAGTTGACAAGTGAAAAATATTCAATTCATTCCATCATTTTTAGCGGGTTAAGAGGATTAACCTTTTGAGCCTATCCCATTTTATCACTCATAGAGACTAGCACGCCCCTACTTATAGCAACACACCATGTGTTGCGTTCCAAGTGTGCATGTTTTGTATTCAATATCAAGACTCCTTGTTAAACGTGTGCTTAGGAAGAATACACCATATACTCAAGATAAGAACCTCGTGTCTAGGGCATGCTCAAAAGAAGCACACCTGTGTTCAATTATGAAAATTTCTATGTTTAGGGCTTGCTCATGCGCCCACTGTTTGACTTCTACATCATCACATAAAAAGAATTTTAAAATTTTTAAGAGTGATCTTTTGTTTTTTTTTTAATTTTGAATTGGTTTTGTGCAATCTTCTTCACTTTGTCTTTTACATACTCAAAATTTAAGCTTCCATCCGAGAATCATTTTATCATTCATATTCGCATCATCTCCTCCCATTTTGATTGTCACCTTTACAAGATGTCTAAAAGACAATATTCTCTATCATAAAGTAGTATTTCTTCTAAAGTAGACAAGTTATGAGGTTTTTTCTTTCCTTTTTGTTTAGGATTATGATTTTTTTCTATTTACTTTCTTTTGTTTTCATTAATATGATCAAGTGTTACTAAATACTCATTACCATGAGATCGACGTGAATTCTTATGATGTATCTTTTGAATCCCAATTTGATTTTATAATGTTAATGTTATTTATCAACTAAAATTATCTCTTCATTGTTATTTTTATTCTTGAATTGGTCATTCAATAATTAATTTTAGTTAATCAATTAACAGTCTATTGTATCATTAATGTGTTAACAAAATTAAGAGATAATTTGAGTTTAGGTGTTATTAGAATCAATTTGTCATTAAAGTTTCCAATCAATTAATTAAGTTAACAAATCTAATGTGTCTTAATACTTCTATTTATTTGTTATTTTTTATAATTATTAGGGTAACACGAAAATTGTTATTATTCTATTATCATTAAGTAGTAATAATAATCAAGGAAATGATTGATAATTGCTCTGACACAATTGAATAAAATTAAATTTAGATATATAAGTAATTATTAGAAGAAACAAAAATCTTAGGCTTTCATTCATATTAATTTAATTATGTGATTTTTTCATATTTTACTTTCTTCAAATTTTCAAAATATTTTGATTCCTATTATCAATTCTAAAATTTTTAATCGTTGAATTTGTTTAACATTTAAGGAATATTAATAGTAAATATTTGCAAATATAGTACTTATAGAAACAATACTAGAAAAGTTTAACATGTTTCATTTTATTACTTTTGATAGGTACATTTGTTTCTAGGTTAAAAACATTTTAAAAGTATTAACATATAATATCTAAGGTATGAATTTTTGGAAATTTTTTTTTATTTAGACCAGAAATTGATATAAAAGATTAATTAATTCAATATTCAAAGTGTCCAATACAATATGAGTTGTAATGATACCTTACTCGTAAAAATAAATTTTAGATTTAAAAAAATCATTAAATACATAAACAAATAATCATAATATAAAAGAAAAATAAAAAAAACAACAAAGAATAAGTTGCAGCTTAATTAAAAAGAAAAAATAGTACACATTCCACATATTACTTCTTTAATTAAGTCGATATGATTATTGAAATTCACTGACTTATAAAAAAAATTCTTATAAGTGTTTTTATATCTCTCTAAAACAAAATTTATGTAATAAGCAAATAACTTTAACCATACAATTACAATGACAAATATAACTTCTACCAAAAATTTATAAGCCTTTTAAGAGGAAAACTATTATTAACTACTATGTACTTGTCTACTTATTAAAAAAAAAATTCAAGTCTTCAACTTTTGTTTTTAGGTTCAAATTTTTTTTAAAAGCTTTATTTGAAAGTTATATATATATATATATATATGAGAGAAAGAGAAGAGAGAAATTAGAGGGATTTAATTTTTGTTTTAGAATTAATTAATTTAAAGAAAGAGGATTAAGAAGTTTTTCTAAACTTTCAGAAATTTTTATAAACTTAATTTTATGAGTTTTTTCGTTTTGGAAGATTTTTTAAATAAGTTTTTAAAATGATTAATTTAAAATAAAAAATTATTTTTAAAAAATATTAGTTTTTAGAGTGACAATTTTTTTAAAAAAATTATTAAAAAATAAAAATATGAATTTTAAAAATATTAATTTTTAGAAGGAAAAAATATATAATTTGTGTATTTTTTAAAAAAAAGTAAAAACCAAATAGCAATAAATTAATTTTTTTAAAATATATTAATTTTTAGAGTGAATTTTTTTTTAAAAATTTATAAAAAATAGAAATATACATTTTAAAAATATTAATTTTTAGAAAAAAATATTAAACTTTTTTATTTTTTGAAAAAAATAAAAATATATAAAAGACAATAATATAATTTATATTATTAACCACTTTATTACTTTCTCCTCTCCATATTAAACATTCAAATAAAAAAAAAGTTTAATCTTCTTTCTCTTCCTCTCTCCTCCTTCTTTTTTAAACTCTTTCTCTCTTTCTCCCTCCAAACTCTCAAACAAAGTCTTAAATATTTTTAAAATATCCAAAAATAATTGATCTTTTTGAAAAAAAATAAAATAAAAGGGTCAATATTTTTATTGACAATTCCATTTTATATTATTGTCAATATTTACCTTAAAAATTGTGGGATTATAATTCTTTAAATATTTGTTGTTAAGCCATAAAATTTTACTATTTCTTTTAATTTCTCGTATCAAGTATACATTATTATAATAGACTTACTCCATCTCGAAGGTTCCTCACAATAATTTAGTATCTATTTGCCAAATACCTGAGCTTTTTTTTTTTATCAAATAATTTATCTTCCCATGTCACGTAACCAACGTAAAATAACTTTGGTCGAACATTTTTATCACTAAACCTTTCAATTCTTTCCTTTTGTCTAATAATATTTCTAACCCAAAAATCTTTTCTTCATCGGGGTTATTTTTTTAATTCATCAAACATCAAATTTTATAACAACTAAAAATAAAAGAACAACAAAGAAATAAATTGCAACATAATTAAGAAATATGAAAAAAAAAAAAAAACACATTACTCAGAGTATTTCTTTGATTAAATTAATATGATCACTGAAATGCAATAACTTGTACAAAAAATCTTTTGTTTTTCATCTCTCTCAAATGAAATTTACACGTTTATTTATAAATAAAGAAACAATTTATACCAACACTTCTCTACCTAATAAACTGAAATTCTTAACTAATACTAGATACATAACTTACGTAATAAAAGCAATTATCCTTTTTTAAATTAAAAAAGAAACATTCTAATAAAACTATATGGTTTAGATTAAACTAAACATGTATCTCAATCACATTCAATGATTAAAAAATAATTTTATTTAACTTTAAACAAAATTGACACTAAGACCTATTTAGTAAAATGATAAGATATTAGAAAATGATAGGATAGAACGATAGATAAAGATAAGATAAAATATAATATTAACATGATAAATTCTTATATTATCCTTTTTTTTATGTGCATTAGAATAGTAATATATATATATATATATATCATTATGTTATTTTTAAAATAAATAAAAATAATGAAACAAAATATAAATTATATTTAAATGACAATATTGACATTATGTATTTTGTCAATGTTTGAAATAAATGAAAAGCAATAGAACAAAATTAGATTATATTTAAATGATAATACTATTCTTTTATAAAAAAATTAATATATTTTTTAAAAATAATTTTATTTAAATTATATATATAATTAAAAAAAATTATGTACATATAATATTAAAATTTGATATTAAATTTTCATAATTTTATTCAATTTTTTATAATTAATATTTTTTTTTGGATAAGATACTATAATTAGAACAAAATATTATAAAAAATATATTTTTAAGTACATACTATAATAAAATAATTTTTTAATTATTTTATTCACGCCAGCCACCGGTAAGAATCTTCCATCGACGACTCCACCATCAAGACCCCTTACTTATGTTGAGATATATATAGTCTTATGAGGATGGGTTAGTATCACGTTAAAAAGTACAAAACTAAAATTTAATTGTAAAATTATATAAAATATTTTAAATAAGAAGGCCATTCAAAGTTTAAGTTTATTTATTTATAACTCTCTAATATGATTGGATTAAACTCATATCCCAAAATTTTAACATATTATTAAAACTTAAATAATTAAACCTAAAATATTAAAAAAAGAAAAAGAAAAAAAGACCACAACTCAAATATTTTAAACAAAAAAATTACTCAAGCTTTAAGGTTTCCAATCCCATGCAGGATATTTAACAACAACAGTTCAAGTTCTCACCTGTCCTTGACACTACAACACGGCTGCATCATCTCAAGTTTTGCAGCAATATTGGCCGAAGACCCCTTCACGATTTTGTTCAGGTAAACCATGGGCGTTTTCCCTACCAGCTATGCCACCTCAGCAGAAAACAAAACCGAACAAATCAATATTTATTACCCAACGTTGATTTCTCCAACATAAACGAAATGGCGAAAATCGAAGCGTTTTCCGCCGACACATTCACAAGTTACGTATGGAAACATGTTAAAAAATGAGTAAATGAGAGGCTAATATACAGTTATAATTAGTAGGGTTGAAGTTAACGTGTAGATGTATGAAACATGAAGCCAACTTTGCTCTGAATCGCTTAAAATTGGAACTGGGCAAGAAAATTGTAGAGGTTGGGACAATGTGGTGAAACTGACCTGGGAAGCATCTTCAGCAATGTTGAGACCCTCAATTTTGATTTGGGGTTCAAAAGAGTCGTCATTGCAAACAACGTTGAAAGATGAAGAGACACTCGTCGTGAGTTGTCTCGCACAGCGGCTTTTACCAAATCTCAGTGACATGGCAGGGTTGGTGGTTAAGGCCAAGATGTGCTGAGTTGCAGCACGAGGAAAACGAGTCAACGGGTTGAGTAAGGAAGCAGAAGCCATTGTTGTTGCTTGTTTTGGTTGCAGAAACCTCAGGTATTGGTGGATGAAAGCGTTTGTGGTCGTCAAGACAGAACCTAAAATCTATACACTTGAAATTGGTATCTGAAGTGCAATTGCCGTTTGATCCATCTATTTTTTTTGTGCCAGAAAAATACTAGGCAGGCCAAAATAGGTAATTATAAATATTAATTCACATAAAGCAAATAATAATTTATGATTTCCACGTATGATAATTCAAATAAAAACAAATGAAACAAGATAGATGTAAATAAAAATAATGTTCCGTTTGAATTAATGGATAGAAGGAAAATAAAATGAAAAAATTATTTCTGTTTAGATGTAAAAAAATAAGTAAATAATATAAAAATATTTTTATAATACTTAAAAAATTTACTTAAAATTATGCGGTTCGTTTATATTTAATATAAAAGTATTATTTTTTATAAATTATTTTGACTATAAAATATTTATTTTCTAAAAAAATAATCTGCGGCCGGCCTCTGCATTTTATTCCTTTTTGTCAATTTCAAGCTAATCAAATCAAGAAAGTGATTAAAAGACAACCGCCTGTTATATCGTATATCTTCTGGCCTTCTTCGCCTAATTATTAGGCTTTTTTTTTTTATAGTATTTTTTAAAAATAAATACTTCAAATAATATTATTTAAAACAGTTTTTTTTAAAAGTCTTTTTTGCTATGCCAACACTCATTTAGTCGTATTGCAGAATGAAATTTATTTTTTAATTAAATTTTATTTACAATAGAGACAAAGCTAAAAACACATGTCAGAATTCTATAAATTTTGTCTGCAGAGCAGCGAATTAAAAATAAATAAATTTAAACAGTTAGAAGATTCTGTATACATATGATCTGTTAAGTAAGTTTTATCTTTAAATAAGTTTTGTCTTTATCAAAACGAAATTTTTCGGATTGTGTCAAGTTTCCAATGACAAGTAAGTTTCATCGAGAATGAAACTTGTTCAAATTTATGAAAAGTTTCATCTTATGCATAAATGAAATTTAGTAAAAATTTTACGGGTGATTCTAATATCCTCTCTTTATTTATAAAAAGTAAATACAACACTTTTCAATAAATAAAAGGGAATTAATTTTGAACCGTTGATATTTGTAAATATAAAATAAATGATTAAGATTGATTGATAAAAAGATTAAAAATCAAGAGGAACAGATACTAGGTAATAAAATGTTAATGAAGGATAAATAAGTAAATTGTTACTTCTCTTTTATCTCTTTCTTCTTCATCTATACGACAACTCCTCTATTTTTATTTCTCTCATTTTCTCTCAACCTCTTTCATTCCCATATTTTTTTTCATTTAAACTTTGAAATTTGTTGGATAAAATTAATTAAGATGAGATTTCTCTTCTGTGACTTCCTTCATAATTTCCTCTTAATTACATACATTGGCCTATCAATCTGAGTTTCAATGAGACATGGCTGGAAGAGCATGAAACGTGGTTGGAAAAAGTCACTTCTATATCAGTTGAATTGGATGATCGAAGCAATAATTCTTCACAAAGTATATTTAAAAAATTAATACGTAAGTTTTACAAGGTTTTCCTCAGATAACCGATATAAAAATTAGCGACATAAATCTAACACAACCGATGCAAATACAGTCCATGCAAAAAATGTATAAAGTGATTGCCTAATGACATCAAACTTGCCACAGACCCGATGCAAATTGAGTCCATGCGCAAATATAAAAGGTGCTCACCTAATCATATTGGTTTTATAACACAACCGATGCAAATGTAAAGGCTGCATAAACCATTGTTCAAGTTTAACTCTATCTACAATTTAACATCTTTCAACTCTCAAACCCTTGCAGAAATTATCCAATATTTATTATTTTTTCACCGTCTTTGACCTGCACAACCAATTTCGCTGTAGTAATACAGTCACTCCCTTATTGAGGGAGACTAAGAACACAACTCAGTACAACTGCACATTCCATGTTTTTAACATTGTAAACGCTCTACACATGTTGTTCTGTAAATAAAATTAGCAACATAACGCTGAAGATGAAGAGAACAAGATGGCCACATTATTGTAATACTTACTGATGTACCTCGTACTTGGGATGTACCTTCCTTAGGTGTCAAATGTGATGTTGTACCTGGTCATTTAAATAATATCTCTATTTTGGTACAACGAGAAGGGGTTTACTATGGTTAGTCAGTGAGACTTGTGGAAATATATAATCATGCCTTTACGCTTGTCGTCGTAGAAGTTGTTCCTAGTCAAGATTATAGTTCTCGGGTATCCAATCAATTAATCCCACAAACAACAGGGAAACTGCAACAGAAATAAAATAGTAGGGTGAGGGATAAGGGGGGGAACCCACTAAATGATTTTAGCACACAACCGATGCAAAGAGAGTCCATGCGGAAAATGTAGAAGGTGATTGCCTAATGACATCAGTTTTGCCACACAACCAATGCAAATAAAGTCCATGCGCAAATGTAAAAGGTAGTCGCCTAGTGACATTAGTTTTATCACACAACCGATGCAAAAGTTTGCTAGACATTTATTACACAGTGACCACAATTTAACATCTCTTAAGTAGTGAACAGTTGTCGAAACTATCTATATTTCATTCTTTTTACGTTAATGACCTCCACAAAAGCCAATATGTTCTCAGACTGATTGGGCATAATGATGAATTTCAGTGTGTAGTGAATAAATAATGCAAAGTAAAAAAAAATATCAATTTTATTTTAATACAATATGAATGTGAAGTAATTATATAATATAATTTTTTTAAATCAAATATATACAGATATAATTTTATATTAATTTTATCAAATTCAAATTTTTAAATATAATATATCAATAATAGTATAATGGACTACAATTTTATTTTCGTCATATCAAATAAAAATTGAGGATAATAAATTATAACTGATATGATTTGAATTGAATACAAGATTCATGCATATAACAAATCAATTATATCACACAAAACAATATAATATAATATATGATTATGAGACGATGACTTGAATGAATTAGTTAAATCGATGTAGAAGACACACCTAGCGTCAACATTGCAGGTTGAGGTTAATATTTTAAAATTAGCTCTGTAGCCCAACTGCTGTAAAAGAGCCCATCCATAAGTAACTTGTACATCGGTTGAATTAGAGGACCGAAATAATAAACCTTTACAAAGTATATTAAAAAAAAACGTAACTTCTACATGGGTTCTCTCAAATAACTGATGTAAAAAGTAGAGACATAAACCAAACAATTTTCTACATCAATTTTTTTAGAGAACTGATGTAGAAAGGAGCAACATAAAGGGGCACATCTGAAGGCGTGGGAAGAGATGGTATTATTGTATACTTTATCATATGTCATATAGAGGAGACAATGGTTAATCAAGTCACAAAATGAAGTCAAAAAGGAATCAACATAATTTATCCGTTAGTCCAGGATATAAAGTTGAGAATCTCAAGTTTGCTACGAGTTGTGACTATGTGAAAGACTATGAGTTTATTATAGGTTTTTATATAGATTTTCGACAAAATCTTGATTTTCTTAAGCAAATTGTGTAGTATTTCAAGGATAAGAAGAGAACATAAACATATTCAATAATGATTCTTAGTAAATCTATGTTTACCATATTTTAACATATGTGTCCTTTTATTACAGAACATGAATAAGGATAAGAACTTGTTGACACGCCTACAAAATATTAATTTATGTTTGCAGTTTTTTTTAGTGTTTTCTCATATTTTTCCTAAGTCTGAGTTATGTTATTAATGCTGAAGAAGACAAAAAAGAGGAACCGAATGAAAGGGCACCAAAATTACTAATATATCCTTTCTAAATATAACTTGTATCACCGGTTTCTTATCTTTTATTTTTAACCATCTGATTTTGATCAACGGTCTACAATGTTTGAAAACTTTTAAAAAAGACAATTTTATCTTACTTCTTACAAAAGAAGAGAGGATATTAGAATCACCCAAAATTTACTACTTGTTATTATTCCGTAGATAAAATATGTAGATACACCTTTTTGTCTAAAAATAAGTGTATATAAATACTGATGCAAAAGCATTTGTGAGAATAGTTTAAAATATTTAAAAAATTGTTAAAAGTAATTTCTAAGGATGCTAGGTTATATGTAGAATATGTCATTGATTATTTTGGTCATTTAGGCAATGTTTATTGAGATTTCTATAGAAGCCACATGCTCTATTATATGTATTTACTTATATTTCTTGTTAGTGTTCAATAATAGTTGCATTTTGATTTCTATCAATTGATCCAACCTACAAGATACATTACAATGCCACCAAAATCAATTGATTAGAGTGATGCATTAGAGGTGTGGGTAACTCGGCTGGAAGCATTTAGACCACGTTTGGAGGGCATTAAGAGTTCTTTAAGAGAGTTTCATGCTGCTCTCTTAGAGATTTAGCAGTCACAACATGAGATGCAATGTTCATTCATGTATTTGCAGAGGATGTGCATCAGTCCCTTTGCAGAGATGAGGAGAGTAACAATAGCTATAGAGCAAATGTAGACCACTCGAATGATAAGTCATTTGACAAACCATCAAAGAAAGGAGTACATGATCATGGCCTTATAGCAAAACAAGTTGAGCTATTGAAATTCCATAGGGTGACCCCATAGGATAGATCAAACAGCACAAACTTAATGGTAGTAATCCTAATGTTTGCTTTGAAATCTATCTAGCAAATGTATTAGATAGCTGTAGCAAGTAATAAAATATGAAATTGTAAGTTTCGAGTATCGTTCACAGAGATAGATAAATCAATTACCAATTTGCAATATTAAAAACTATTTGAACTAATCGAAATTTGTTAAGGTTTGAATATTTGAGATAAGAACATAAAAATGCAACAAAATAGAAGAAAATAACAAACAGAGTGAAGGATTTCAAAAAGAAATTACTAATCAAATTAAGTTATGGTTGATTTTAGATATTATTCAATTGCAAAACTGATTGTGATCTGAATTCTTAAGTACCTTAATTGATTGATAATCAATTTCACTAGGTTAATTAAAATTTAATTACTTGACTTAATAATCTTAATATATAATCAATTACCTTAATTCCTTAGGTGTAAATCAATCATATATTGTATTAAGAATGAGAAATCAATAGACCACAAGATAATAAATTATTTCTAATATATCATAAATCTTTACATTCAACTTAGATATGAGATGTTCACTCCACTTTTATTGATATAAAATCTGTAAGTTCAATTCAATTGAATAACTAATTCAAAAATTGTATTACGAAAAGAAATGAATGTTCAATACAATCAAGAACTAGAACTCAAATCCATCGTCAATTTACAATTTTCAAATAGGTTTCATCAATTCCTAACAAAACAAAGTCAGAACATTATTCTAGAAAAATGAGAGAAAAAAAGAGTAGAAAAGAAGGTAAGGAAAATTCCATGAATTCAAGTCTCAAGTTTGATTCTTCTATAATTGAGTCTTGAAATTCACCTCCAAAGCTCTCTTTTTAGCTCTAAGAGTGTGAAAAAAAAATTGAGAAAAGCTTCATCTAATTCTTAGTTTCTGACTATTTATAAGTTTCTTGTGCTTCTAGCGTGGTCATTTTTTATACTGAAAGTGTTTACGTGTAAGGTCACAACTTCTGAAGTGAACACTCTTGACATTAAAAGTGTTTATGCGCAGGGTCTCAGCCACAATTGCTCTCTAAAGTGATCACTTTTAGTGGTGAAAGTGATCACGTGCGGGCCTTCTCTCATGACAGCCTCTAGAACTTTCACTTGTTATAGTAAAAGTGCTTAAGCGCATGGTCTTTTCTCCATCTCAAGCTCTGGAACTTTCACTTTTGGCACAATGAGTGCTTACAAGCATGTCATTCTCAATTTCTAAAGCTCTAGAAGACTCACTCTTGGCATAAAGAGCTATCACACGCAAGGTATTCTCAATTTCTAAAGTTTTAGAAGACTCACTTTCAATTATTAGAGTGCTTACACACACCATATACTCTCTATAAAGCCCTCAAAATAATTACTTTTTGTCTTCAAAGTGAATTCGCGCACCATATGCTCCCTTCAAAGCCTCTACAATGCTCACTTTTGGTGGTAAAAGTAACTACATGCATCATATTTCACTCTTCAAGTCTCTAGAATATTCACTTTTTGCACTCAAAGTGATTATGCTTAACCCATTTGACCTCTTAATACTTCTAACTCATGTGTTTTTCCTTAGAATTTCTTGCAAAACTAATTCAACAACAAAATTTACATAAAAGTTCTATTAAATCCAAACAATTTAAATTACTAAAAACAAAAATTGAATTTATTGAACAATTATTTTTTAATGAGATTTTCATCTTCCAAACTATAATTTTTTTTTATCAAAAATCTATTAGAAAACTAACTAAAAATTTCAATAAATTCTGGATTTATCACCTAACCTTAAAAACCCTTTCCTAGCTGCTTTGGAAGGATTAAAGAAGATGCAAGGAGGTTTACCATGAAAGTCAAAAGTGGGGCCTAGTGAAAAATAATAAGTGTTGAATTCGTGACAACAGTTGGAGTTAGAGGGAGTGTTGCGAGAGTCTCCATAAGTTTTTAATGAATTGTCTGGGCTACCTCCTTCTCAAGGAATAGCTCTCTCCATCAATCTGAAGGAAGGCATAGAATCGCTAAATGTTAGGCCATATTGCTATTCACATCATCAAAAAAATTGAAATAGGGCGTCAAGTTCACAAAATGTTGCAACAAGGTATAATTCGTCATAGTTTCATCCCTTCTAGTTTGATAATTCTTGTTAAAAAATATATATATAAAGGATGTGTGTGGACTATAGTGCTCTTAATAAGGCAATAGTGTAGGACAAAGTTCCTATTCCAATTGTTGTTGATGAGTTGATAGATGAATTATATAAGGCAAACTTCTTTTCAAAGTTTAATTTAAAATTTGAGCGCCATTTTATAAGGATTAGGGAGGAAGATCCAATACAATATTTAAAACCAATAAAGGTTACTACGAATAACTTGTAATGCCTTTTGGGTTAATGAATGTCCTAACTACTTTCCAAGCAACAATGAACCAAATGGTCAAGCCATTTTTATGTATATTTATGCTTGTAATTTTTTATGATATGATGGTGTATAGTAGAGATAAAATATTCACTTGCATCACCTACCTATTATCCTCTAAGTGCTCAAAGAAAATCAGTTTATTGCAAATAAGAAGAAATGTAGCTTTGGGAGAAATCAAGTAGAGGTATTTGGGTCTCATTTTGTCAAATGAGGGTGTATCTATTGATCTAGCTAAGGTGCAAAGTGTTCTCACTATTACTCCAATATTCTCTCGTATACTATTATTTTATATTTTTCTTTTCTCATGTATTAACTCATACTTTAATATTCTCATTTCTATTACTCTTATTTTCTTCTCATGTTCCTTTAAGATCTAGCATTTACCGCCATATAGGATAAATGGTCATATTGTAATACAGTGAAATTTTTCTTTTAGCTCTATAAATACTTTATAATCACAAATAACTCATGATATTTTTCTCTATTTTAACCACTCAGCTTGTATTTTGTAACAAACATTAATTTTTCTATCATTTTGAATAATTGATCCATGTGCCTAAATTGAAAACTTGTGGTATAATATTATCTTTAAATTTAACTTTCAATGCATTATCCTCATCTTGTTTTTGCTAAATCTACAATGCATGTACTTTGTCTTACTTCTACTCAAGTGAAAAATCTAGATTCTAAAGTCTCTCTATAACTCAAATTTAACATTAACCTCTTCTTTTAAATCCTCAACTAATACTATATCATTTATAAATAATATTCATCAAGAGATAATATTTTGTATGTCATTTATAAGCACATTTATAGTAAAATTAAACAAGTAAGGACTTGCGAAGATTTGATGTAAAACTATTTCAATTGAAAAGTCTTTAAATACGCTTTTAAAAGTCTTTCACACATGTAATTATTCTTTTATAGAGAAAAATTCTTCATTCTCCCTTTTTTATATGTCATTTGTAAGCACATCTAAAGTAAGATTAAGAACTTGCAAAGATTTGATGTAAAACTATTTCAATTGAAAAGTCTTTAAATACACTTTCAAAATTTTTCGCACATATAATTACTCTTTTCTAGAGAAAAATTTTTCATTCTCTCTCCCTCCCCCTCCCCTTTTGTTTTATCTATTTATTTAGACACGGGGAATTTGTTTTACTACTAAACATAGACAAGCATAAAAGGCACCAGATAAAACTTCGTTCCATCAATTATTTTTTAATAACAATGTAAGACAGAAAATTGTTACAGAAAGAGAGTAGAAAATAGCTCTTGTTCAAGGGCCATTAATCTGTGCTGTAAGTCAAATCAATGACCTGTACAGAGTTATCTAATTTCTTAAATGTCAAAAATGAGAAACAGACATAACATGGACATGTCACATTGTCATGCCTTACAAATGCTCATGGAGAATGAGTACGAAACAAGTAACAACAAGCAAAGTTGTTTCATGGCTCAGGTTGCATCTTCTCACATTCTTCTCGAATTGACTGAAAAAGAACAGTCGATAAATATCTTTCACCAAAGCTCGGGAAGACAACCTACAAGAAATAAATATTTTATGCATTAAAATGCAAGAGTAATATATATTTAAATTTGAAAATAAATGAAGTCTATCAAAAAGATAAAGGTGACAAAAAAGATCACATGACAATAGTTTAGCAAACAAAACAAGAAATGAGAGGAAAGAGAAACAAACTTCACCCCCAATAATAGCAGGTCAAAAGCATATAATCCCCAATGCCATCATCAACCTAAATACTACAATCATCGTTTCATTTGTTATTTTCCTCATTCCTCATTATCATTCATAAGCAAGCATTATAGACATATCCAGCTATATTCAGCCTTTCAGGTCCTTCACACATCAGCCCACTAATTAAAAAAAAAGAGCAACAAAAAGAAAAGATGTCATAAATATGCTAAATTGACGAAAATTAAGTCTGGTAGAATACCAGCAACTGAATACATAAATAACATCATAAACTGGTGAATAAGATATAATCTGCGCACTTGTCCTTCAGAACCAAAATCTAGACCTTGCTCTAAAGGTCAGATTGTTAAGAAAAGAACAAAATATGATCAGATTGGTAGAATGAGCCATAATGCATCTGTCTAATGCTTTTCTAAATTCAGCAAAGATATATCCCATCGCAGATGGATTAAATTCTTTGTACGACTATTATGGATTGATTATGATTTTTTGTTTAGGAAATATGCATACCGCAATAAGCTTTCCTGCATTTTCAGGTCTCTTTCCAACTTTCAAAGCAGCAGCAGCAGCAGCTCCTGAAGAAATTCCTACCTGTTTTCCAATTGATGTAACCAAGTACGAGGCAAAGTATGAAAGCAACATATATAAACTCTTCATTTGGGGTCAGAATTGAGATGTCATAATATTTGAAGAAAACTAACTCCAATGTGCAAGCTAAATAAGACACAAGTTCTTATGCCCTTCATAATAGGGTGTAATAAGGATCATTCATGCAACCTTGGCATGTTTCATGTAACTGTGCAAGAGTACAGGATATGCACACTGGAAAACGTAAAGAACTCAAATCACAAAAACAGTTGAAAATTTGAACATAGAGCACTAACCAGCAAGCCTTCCTGAAGTGCTAATTGTTTTGCAGTTTCAACAGCTTCGTCACTTGATATCTGCCAAATTCACAAAAGAGGAGATTAATTATATGATACAGACCAAGAAAATATTGGTATTCACTATTTATCCTGATTAGGTAGTACATACATTATAATCATAATCACATGCATAAATATTAGTACAACTGACAGCAGTTCTAAATGTTGAATAGCACTTAAGGGTCCTCAATTAAGAAAGAATCACCCACCAGAATTTAGAAACAAGCTAATGTATGAAGAAAAGTTAGTTATTGGCCAGAACTGTTAGGCATAGTAAATGCATAAATGCTTATGGAAGTAAAGCTACTATAAAATCCAAATGTCAACAATGATTTTGCATAATTCATTCTTGTCTATGAAAGATATTCTCCAGCATGTGCAATATATAGTAGAGCACCACATTCATTGAAACTAAGATTAAAACAAACACATACATATAAGCCGAATGTGAATATTAGCAAAACTTGACATGAAACAGTTGATAAATCAGATTGTTAAAATCCAGGAAAAGATGACAATTAATACATTTAAATAAGTCAACTAACTGGTGTATCTAAGACAGTTAGAAGGAAACATATAAGCTACTAGATAACATCTATGTCCAAAATATACGGTGATAAAATCCATTAGTCCTTTTCCACAAAGAGGGATCTAAATCTGTACAAAAGTAATGGAATAAAAATTTTATTACATTTATTTGACAAGGATTGTCACCTCCGACTTAGATCATTGCATGATACAGTTCAACTAAATGCAGGTAAAGGAAATAACAAAGTTATTGTTAGTAGCTACTTGCACTAGATGGGGGGATTGAAAGATATAGCCATGACATTTTCATTCACACTCAACACCACAGGTGCATAAGGCTATCATCTATATTATATTATATTCACAAATAATGAAGAAGAACACCACAGGTGATTCATTTTGTTAGCAAACGGTCAGTAGACAAGGAGGATTTGTCATCATATATAGAAATGCATGTTGGCCAGAAGAAATCCATACAAAAAATCAAGCAGAATGATTCAATCAAAATCTGACAAGTTCAAGAAATTGCTCTTAGAAATAATTCAGTCAGTAGTAACACATCTTTAAAAAAAACAGTTTAGAAAATAACAAAACATGCTGTGTTCGAACATAAATAGAAAAAGAAAAAGGGAAAGCATAAGAACATACCGCAATAATTTCATCAAGCACATCTTGATCCAAATTCCTGGGCACGAAACCAGCCCCAATACCCTGAATTTTGTGAGGTCCTGAGGTTTAGCAGAAAAAAGATACAAGTTCTTAAAAGAAATTAAAATTAATATATTGGAATTGAAAAAGTGTAGAAACTTATTCTGTTTCTATACCTGGCTTTCCACCTGAAAGTATGTTGCTTTCCAGAGGCTCTACTCCAATAACCTGATACATAATGAAGAAAATGCTAAATGGAACTCAACTAAGTAGAAAGCTTCCCTAAAAGAAATTATACTTCATGTGGTAAGCCATAACCAATACACACAATTCCTTCCCATTATTATATTGATTGATATTAAAAGATTCATTTGGGTTGGCAATGCTATTGAGAAAGATTTACCTGTATTTTCGAATTTTGTTGTTTTAGGAATTGTCCAGCTCCAGAAACAGTTCCACCAGTTCCAATTCCTGCAACTAAAATATCTACCTTGCCTCTTGTATCTTCCCATATCTCTGGGCCAGTAGTCTCATAATGTATCTGCATAAATGAATCCAACCTCATATATCAGACCATACTGCAGCTCACCACGCTATCCATTTATGACATGTCAATCAACTTCAAAATTAAACTAAATACACAGGGGAGAAACAATATCAGCTCACAATTTGAACATTTTCCCAAGCCATACCTTCTCTTTTATAAAGCAATTTAGAAAATGCTGCCTAAAGATTTTCAAAAAATTGTTAAACTGGCTCTGGGAACCCTGTAATTAACTCTAAACTTGTGGTGTTTCCTATATGTCATGATAAATCGTTGCTGAAAGTCAAAAATGGAAGAAAGCACTACTAAGAGAGAAAGAGCACATAAAAGAAAGATCTGGATATGCTCTTAGAGCTATAAAGGACACAGCAACAGGAAGTCAGAGAGAAAATCAGATTAAAAGAACCAAGCAGTTGCTTTGCATATACTAGGAAGAAGAAACACCTCTAAAAGACCACAAGGAGAGACAGAGGGAGGTTAAATAAGAAAATGCAATCTTATCTCAACTTTTTTTATCACAAGACTAACAATCAAGTCAGTAGTATTAACTATTAAGGACTGTTGAAAGTTTACAAGTTTGTAAAACCAAGCGATTAAGTGTTTGAAACTCTGGATTTTCCACCATTAAAGTGCATGTGAAAGTAATTTGAAATGATTATTGTGAGAGAGATTATCAACTATGGATGGATTTGATGAACTCCTTATTGCTATCAACTATGGTTCTAACGCTAGTTCATTCATTTACAGAACAACGCTTACTACAATATACACTAATAAGATGTTGCACCTGCACAAACCAAACAAGAACTTATCTCTGGATAGATGTGTGATCAATACTACACATCATAAACATTTATAGATTTAGTATTGCATTGTCCACATGTAGGATACATTTAGGGCTTCAGAGCCAGGAGTAAACTCATTGTCATGTCAAAGGACACCTGGTTATGCTCTCAGAGTCAGAGCTATGAGCATTTTCTGTAGATTATGTTCACAGGCTAGATCAGAAAATGGAGAACTGAATGTGGAGGCAATGGGCCGTATATGTTATTTATTTGGTACTTTTAGCTTGAGCAAAATGCATGTAAGGGGAATTTTCATTTTTGTATTTCTATTAACCTAGATTTTGCAACTGCAGTTTGAATAAAGAGTTTTAACTAAAGATAAGTAACATGAATCAATTGTCAGTGCTGATTACAAGGCGTAGACCAAACCTGAAGCTAATGCTACACAGTGCACAGGTTCCCAAAAAATAGGAACATAAAATAAGCTTTTATCATTTACCTTAGGATTTGAAGGATTATCAAATTGTTGAAGCATGTATGCATTTGGGGTACTTTTTAAAATTTCTTCAGCTTTTTGAACTGCTCCATTCATGCCCTTTGCTGCATCAGTCAAAACAAGCTCAGCTCCAAATGCTTTCAAAAGAACTCGCCTTTCTAAACTCATTGAAGCAGGCATTGTCAAAATGAGTTTATATCCTCTTGAAGCTGCTATAAAGGCAAGACCAATTCCTGTGTTCCCGCTAGTAGGTTCCACTAAAATACTCTGAAATGCACATGAGAAACAAGGTAACTCAGAATGACAAAAAAAATTGAAGCAACATTAAATGTATCTAGCCACAGCTTAACCAGCTCCCACTGAAGCTCAGTGTGCTTTTCCAACAGAACCACATAATACTCCCAAATAGATGCAGCATAAAAGTAAAGGAAACTATATTGGTGCATTGTATGCACCCCAAAGCAAAAACTTTGACTTACCAAAATGCCCGAAAAAGTTATAGTTTCTAAAATTGTCAAAACCAGTAAATATGCCAGTAACATGTCATATGATCACACAAAATGTATACTAAACACTTATAATGCACCTAGACTCAGATTAGGGTATATAAAGTCTCAACATTTTAAAAGATTGGACACATGCAACCACAATATAAAAGCATACCCTACTCCACAGCAAGCAAGCATAATTTCTTGAAAAAAAGCATCAGTATTGATGACTTTATCCTTTTTTGAGAGAATGGTTGTAGAGAAATAACTCTTTTTTGTTTGAAAATGCATAAGTGATTAACAATTTATGTTACTACTTGATTTGTTTTATTTATAGTAAAGCAGGAAACTGTAGCACAAGTGTATGGATATAATCATATAATACACCATACACAGCAATTATGTCCAGCTAATACTTTTAAAGTTTTTAGTTTCTACCAAAAACCTATTCTTCCCTTCAATTAAAGCCTGCAAATGCGTTACATGTGTAGCTCTACAACAACATTGCTAAGAACATTTAAAACGGTCAACCATAAAACCATCTGATATCTAACTAGCGAATGCCTAGCATGGGAAGAATAGGTTGTTTAGGTGGTCTGCATTAGCCATGGTGGACAAGCTGCAAGAACTATAGGGAGGAGAATCACATAATACTAATACACATACTATGAAATCCATAGATGAATGTTAACAGTTTCAATCATTTTTACCTTCCCAGGTGTTATAACTCCTCTCTGCTCAGCATCATTTATCATGCTATAACCTATTCTGCAAGAAGAAAACTCGGAAGCATTAAAAGAAAATACTAGAGACAAACACAGAATGAACTTCCAATATGTAAGTTTATGTAGCCAAATAATTTATGCAAGTTCATAGAATGATAGAAATACTATCATCGACCTCAAATATAGATTTTTGGGTTTTCTTATATAACTAATAAACTGAAACTATGACCTAAAAGTATATACATAACTGAAGTTACAAAATCAATTCTCACATTTTCCCATAAAAAGCATACATTCCAACAAAATATGTGATTTAGACGATTTAGATTAAACTAGAAATAGGTCTAAATCACATTCAATGATTGAAAATGAATTCTACTAAACTTCAAACCAAATTGAGACAAGTGTTTTTACTTGTGTCATATATGGAGGTAGATTTCCCTCCATATTAATACGTAATATTTATTGTAGAGCTATTTTCTTCAGAAGAACAAATAACAATACAGACAATAACAACTAGCAAAGAAATCAATAACAAAATCAGGTCAGCTGCTTTTGTCATGTGAATTTTTAGGACTTGTTTGGTTTAATAAAATATTTTTGTTTTCACTTTCTATTTTCACAAATAATTATAAAAGAAATGTTAATAACACTCTTTTAAAATTGGTTCATTTTGATGACTATGCCACTTTTTAAAAAATAATCCAATAATAAAAAGCACGTTAAAGAGTGTGTTTAAAAAAGCACTTTACTAACATTATGCTAGTCTAGTCACAAAAAAAGCCACCACGTTTTGGCTTAAGTTCATGTTAAAGATTTGCATAATTTGACCCGAAGAAAACAAAGAAATGAAAGGTATGAAATCTCACAAGTTTAACAAGCAACAAATCAAGTTCTCACCTGTCCTTGACACTACAACACGGCTCCATAATCTCAAGCTTTGCAGCAATATTGGACACAGAGCCCTTCACGATATTGTTCAGGTAAACCATTGGCGTTTTCCCTATGAGCTGTGCCACGTCAGCAGCAAAAGAACCGAACAATTCAATATTTATCCACGACGTTGATTTCTCGGGCATAAACGAAATCGCGAAAATCGAAGAGTTTTCCAGCAACACATTCACAAGCGCATTTGAATCACTCAGAATTGTAAAGGTTGCGACAAAACAGTGAAACTGACCTGGGAAACATCTTCAGCAATGTTGAGACCGTCAATCTCGGTTTGGGGCCTCACAGAGACTGCTTTGCAGACAACGTGGGAAGGTGAAGAAATCCTCGTCACGAGTGGTCTCACACAGTGGCTGTTAGCAAATCTGAGTAACGTGGCAGGGGTGGTGGTGAAGGCCAAACTGTATTGAGTTGGAGCACGAGAAGAACAAGTCAACGAGTTGATTAAGGAAGCAGAGGCCATTGTTGTTGCTTGTTGGTTGGGGAAACCTCAGAACGCAACCTTAAGAAATGAAGTACAAAAGCGTTTGTTGGTTGAGACAAAACCAACCCAAAGTCGCAACACGCTGCCCAAACGCAATAAATATCCCTTTTGTTGTTCGTCCTTCGATTCTAGACTCAAAATGGGTCACAATTCACAGCGTCTATTGGGAGGGCAAAGGGACAATAATGGTAAATTGGCAATATTCCACGATATTTTTTTTGTCAACGGCATTATTCAACGATAAAAATGGCAGAAACAAACCTGCACATTTTTTTACTGTTACACTGGTTATTTAATATTAGCTTCATTTTTATTTATAAAAATTAAATATATAATTCATTTATATCAATAAAAAATAATTATATACTATAGTTAAAAAAATAAAATAATAAAATAATATGCAGCATTATTTCTCCTATCTACCTGCTTTTTATTTATTTTTAAATAATTATTTAACCCATCAAATAATTTTATCATATTTAATTCATCCTCAATTTTGCTTTTTTTTTACAATGTCATAAGATAGTATATAAAATAATTAAATTCTTATTTTATTTCATAAGATAATAAGTGTGAGATATATTAATTTTTAAATTTAAAAATATTAAGTTAATTCATAATTTTTGTTTTTGTCCATTAGTTTAATTTTTTGAGTCACATATCAGTAATAGACAATAACAAAATATCAACATATCATATTTACAATAATCACATGGCATAAATGACGTCATTTTGCATCAACATTACATCTTTATGATAAGGTTACTGTTTAGAATAGAGGTTAACGCACAAAAAAGTATCATTTCATAATGCTAACATTGAAGCCACAATTTTCTCATTTTATATTGTCTACTCCTTTCTGAAGTCATGGAAGAGAAAGAAGAACAGAAGAAAAGAAAATTAAGTATTAAATGGAGAAATGGTGGAGTTCAGAAAAGGCTTTGCAAGTGTCAAGGTGATGGTGAAGGCAAAAAGGAAGAAGCTAGTATTAGTACACATGATGGTGTTAGAATTTTTGTTGTTTATGATAGGGCTAGTATTGATTTGGATGGTGGTAGAGTTGTTTTCATTTATGACTGTGTGAGAGCTGCACGGATTTGTAGGGGCTTGTGTTATGCATTTTGACCTTTGAAATCTCTAGAACTTCAAGTTTTCATTATTAATAACTATCATTTTCTTTGTCCTTACTCTCACTTCCTTCTCCCCTCTACCTAGGCCTACACCTAAGCTCACTAGAAGTGATTGTTAAAACTCAAGTTTTTTCGTTTTATTGGAGTTTTCAACATTAATATGCCTAAAATCCTAATTTGTAACTATTTTTTCTTGTGGAGAAGCTTGGAAAAAGTGCCAACAAAGAATGCATATATTGAATGTGACTAATAATAGTGATTTTTTATATGGTAAGAATGAAGAAAAAAATGAAGGATAAATGAAAGATTTTAAGAATCAATGATTAAAATATCTAATAAGTGACAATTTCAGAAATTAAAATTCCTTACGATGATAATGTCAAAGACTAAAATAGAATAAAAACATATATACATCGTAGATGATGTTATTTTTGTCACACAATTAACTATATATGTCACTTAATATGACATGTCAATATTTCATTATTATATGTAAATGATGTATGACTTGAAAGACTAAAATAATAGACAAAGACAAAAATTAAAAACTAATATAACATTTTAAGATTTTCAAAAACTAAAATGACTAACACTTAGTATTTTAAAAACTAAAATGAGAGTTAGTTAATATAAAATTAATGTCGTCGATAGTTGTAGAATGAAAGATATGGATTATGGTAGTGTTATAAAAAATTGTTGTAACAAAGTAGTTTATAATATTTATTTCATTTTATGGTAACAGGTTTACACTTGGTCGAATTGAAAGTAATTTTTTGTTATTTTTACTTGTTCAGATTGAAAAGTTATCATAAAGTAATTTTAAAATAAAATTGAAATAGTAAACTTTCTTTTAATGAAACTAAGATGAGTTTATCACGTATTTTATTTTACAAGATATTTATTATTTTATGTTAAATTTCTCTCTTATACTCATTTTTTGTACACAAAATTTATTCAATAACAATCTCATTTATTCCTTAGATATATTTGAAACATAGTTTTTACACTTTTAATTTTAAATAATTTATGCTGATCATTTATATTATATTTTAAAATATTTATAATATCAATTGATGTCTTATATGTTAAATAAATAAATTAACTACTAACATGAATAAAAATAAATAAATACTTCATTAATACAATTTTCATATTACATAAAAATATAAAAAATTAATAATTAATGTATTTAAAAATAGGTTTATTTTTTATAATTATAATAAAAATATTGATAGTTAGTTTTCATCAATAAAGTTAAAAGTAACATTACTTCTATTTATTTAATTATATATGAAAAAAAATAACATACAAACATATATATATATATATATATAATATTTCTATTTATAACAAAAGTTAACTTCATAGTATATTTTTATTTATAATAAATATATAAAATATTTAAAATTAGATAAATATAGAATATTACTTAGAAATAATTATAGATATTTTAAACTTACAAAAAGATAAATAAATGAAAAATATTAAAAAATAAAAGAAGTAAATCTTACCTGACTTTTCTTAATTTTTATTTAGATCATAAATATATTTTATTAGAAATAATTATGAGTAACATTGATATAAATTACAAAATTTTCACTCTGAAATACAATTATATTTATTGAAACTGAAATTCAAAATTATAAGTTTAGTTGGTGAATTAATCTATATATTTGGTAGTTTATTTTAGATATGTTTGAGTAAATAATTTAATTAAATATTTATATAACAAATTTTAACTTTTATCAAATATTTCATTTAAATTAGTTAAAAGCAACAATTATAAATTAATTTATAAGTTTTTTCATTTAAAAAAGTGTGAACGCTTCTTCTATTTCTGTATCAATATATCTTGAAAAGATTATTCTAAATTAAAAAAAATTATTAGTGTTTTTATTTTTCTATAAAATACAATATTGTGATATAAAAAGTAAGAAAAAAAGTGTTTATACAAGTCTTAACTATATTTTTATAAAAATTAAAAGGTTAAAAAATATTAGTAGGGGTAGTTTAGATTGCATGTAGCTTTGCAATATTCGTATAAAAGTGGTTGAAAACTTCATTTCTCATTTACTAGAGAGTGAGGAGAAGAATAAAATTGGTAAAAACGGTGTCGTGACAAAAACTCTCTACCGTAGCTTTTCATTTTTCTAAATTTTTGTTTAAATCAAATACAAAATAGAAAGATTGAAACGACAATTTTCTTGAAAGTGATTGAAATAGACGCCCATTTAATCCATGCGTGTTTAGCCCAGGGGGCTTAGCATGCCCATGCCGGCATTATGAAACCTATCTAAAAGGTTGTCGTTTTGAAATTAAAAATCTATCTTTCGCAATTACTTGATTTTGTATATTTTAGAAATATATATTTATTTTTTTATCTAAATAAATTTTTGGGATTGATTACAAATATTTTTTATAAGGGCAAATAATTTTGTATAATTGGATATGATCATCATGGTCGATGATAAAGTTTTTTTAATATAATTATATTAATTAATATTCAAACTTAAAGATATAAATTACTGTAAAATAACTTCTATTAATTAATATACTAGTTTGGTGATTATCTAAACAAATTTAAGTATAATTTTTTATTATGAATTTTTCTTAATTATTTTTTATTGGGCCACTTACCCATCTGTAGCTTTATATGTTTCCTTTTTTTAAGTTGTTTCAATAATTTTTTTATTAGATAATGAAATGGTTAGATCTCTTTGCCATGTATCATTGCTCCTTTGATAAAGTCATTTTTTAGAATTAAGAATATAGTGATTTCTTGGTTTTGTTTTATATGGTTATATGCATACCCAAAACTAACATGTTCTAATGATTTTTTTTCCCTCAAATTCCATGAGGAGTGGTTATATCTCTTTGCCTGGACTTATGCATAGTTTGAAAACACTCCATAGTTAAATTTAAAAAAAAAAAAATTGTTTCCTTATTTTCTATTCTTATTTATTTCTTATTATTGTTGTTTGATGATTAAGCAATTATTATTTTTATTTCGTTTTAGTGTAATATTATTTTTGAGATTTCTATTTTTGGTCTAGACATTTTTGAGCTTATTAATAAAATATTGTATTACTTATTCTTACCTTTGATATTTTATATACTGCGAATGATTGTAAAATTCTTTTCCCTAATGTTAAGAGTGACTTCATTTTGTATAACCAATTTGACGATGAGTCAAAATTGGTGAAATTATGGTTCACAAGAGAGAATATTATTATTTAAAAGATTATTACGATTGAGAACGTAGTTTGTATATTTTCTTTACAAACTAAGGCTATCGAAATTATACATTAAGAACAAAAATTGTCTCACAAATAAAAAAAGTTAAACAAAATTCATTTATTTGTTGGTTTTTAAATACAAAAATTTTAAAAATTAGAAATTTATGGTTAATATAGAAATTAATTAATATCTAATACTATAAATTATCCTATATAACTATAAAATTTGACTTATAAAAGTATATCTGTTTACCTTAAAAAATAGAAACACTGACCTAAAAATTTAGATATATTGCCCCAAAATAAAAATATTGTGGTAGAGAATTATACTTTTTTATTACCTTAAAAAAACTAAATATGGGTAAAATTTATTAATTAATTAGAAAATAATATTTTCAATAAAAAAAAATTGAGGCCAAATAAAATATGCCCATGTAATGCTAAGATATAAATTATTTATTTTGCATTGTTCAAATTAAAATCTCTTAACTCGAGTTCTTTTAAAACAAATTAAATCAAATTTTATTAGTTCTCGATTCATATTATTCATATACTATTATGTAAAAAACTAATTTAATCATTGTAGTACTTATTTTTTATGCGTATCAATTAATTTAATCTCTAATGATGATATTAGTATAAAATTAATAAATAATATTAGTCTCAAGAAATAAATATTTTGTTGGTGGACAAAATTAACAACTTAATTTGTATTTTAATTGTTATAAAATTAAAGTAAAATACATTTTAAGTATGTGAAGAATTTAATAGACGTGAGTGAAAGCATACCCAAAATAATTATG